TACCCCCCTGTTCCACCTTCATGACTGAAGGGCTTTCTGCTCAGCTGCTAGGAGCCAGGAGGCTGATGGCTGTAGCTATCATACCTCTCTGGAAATTACCCTCAGCTAAAGAAAACCACCGTCCTGAAGGTCATGCTCTTCGCCATGTCAGCCTGCTCACTGGGAAGTGTGAAGACCCGGCCCCCTCAACTCAACTCAGAAAGTTTTGAAAGTCTATCCCAACTCCAAATCTCCTTATAGAGAGTCAGATGAGGACTTTTTTGAGAACAACGTGCAACCCGAATCAGACTGTAAGAAAACATCAGAATTTCCCAAATCAATGATCAGTTTGCAAGATGAGTGGCCTATAGTCTTCAGAAACATTAATGCCATAGAAGACAAAGAAAATCTAATGAAGCAGTCCAGACTAGAGGACACGCAAGAGACATGACAACCACATGCAGCACATGGTTGGGGATTTTCCTGTGCTCTGAGAAAATTATTGGCATAATTTGTAACTGATAAGCCTTGCAGAGTGCTTACTATAGGACAGGCATTGTTCTACGTTAATTCATTTAATCTTCACAAGAGCATTATGAGTTAAGTAGGATTACTATCTCCATTTTACACGTGAGGAAACTGAGGCACAGGGAAGCTAAGTAACCTACCCAGGTAACACAGTGAGAAAGAGGCAAAGCTGGGACTGAATAAAGGCCACGTGGGTGTGAGGATGGGGGGAACGGGGGCTGGTGGGGTGGGTCACGGTTTTTAACCACAGCCTCTACTTCCTATCCTAATAAGACCCTTATTTCCTATTCTTTGGTTTGGCAAAACTGAAGAGCTTATCACCAATTTTTGGTGAAAATGTGACAAAGTGGGAAGTCCTACGTTTTACTGGTCAAAGTGGTATTTGTATAAAGCCAATTTGGAAATTAATTTGGCAATATGTAGTAAATCTGAGGATAGAAATACTCTAAAAGAGCAAGTTAAGTGCTTTGTATAAACACAAGGAAACCTGGGTAAGACAGTTAACAACAGCTTTGTCAGAAACACCCTGAAACTTCATCAGTAGAAGAATAAAGAGGCTGTTGTTTAATCATATAATGAGGCAGAGTAAAACCCCAACATAATGTGATTAGTGGGATCCAAAAATTTAATCACATAAAACACAGGTCACATTATTACAAAGTTAAACAAAACAGTATTTCTCAATCTGTATTGTTCCCCAAAGTATAAAATTAAAAATGGTGAAACTCTACGAAAGTGGCCATACAATCAACTTAGAAAAATCCCAAATGATGAATCATTATTTTTAGAAATTGCATAAATTCTATTTGTATTTCCTCTTGCACCCAAAAGTTATTAATAGAATTTTGCAAATTTCCAGGTAGAAGGGTCTTTTTGTTTTTTATTTGATCCTAATTTCTAGTTTTATTACATTGTGATTAAAGTCTTGTTTATAAGATTTCTACTTTATTGAAACTACTAATGATTTCTTTTTTATATATGATCAATTTTTGTGACTGTGCTATGTGTGCTTGAGAAGAGGCTGTGTTCTCCATTATCTGTGTATAAAATTTGATATACAACCCCTTGATTGTTTGTTTTTTATTTTTTAGGTCTTTTTTGTTTTATAGGTCTTTTACAATCTTACTTACATTTCTTGTCCATGTGACCTATGTTGTACTAAAGGTAAGTACGTTAGTTTCTTTTCAATGATGTGTTTTTACTCATGTCTTCTCACATTGCCTATAGTTTTTGCTTTTAAAGGGGTCACTATGTTATTTAGTGCATAGATATTCATAACATTGCAAATAGTGACTTTTATCATTAAAAAGTGCCCTGTGTGTGTGAACAAGCTTCTTTTACATTATGCTACATAAGTCTGTGTCTGGACCCAGAACCCAGCAAGCCTACCATTTCTTCTCTTTACACTGCCAAGTCATGTTTCCTTTTGATTTCTGGTACACAAAGACACGCACTTTAGTTTTGAGCTTAGATATTTTTTATTAAATTTGTAGTATTTCTTGTGTATATCTAGAGCAATTAGGGATATTGAAAGTATGATATGCCATAGCTATTTTGATAGGAATTTATCATTTATTCAGCTCTTTTTTTCTTCTGTTTTATACTCAAGACACATGTAAAATTCTCTGGGTCATGGAGAATGTATTAAAATTCTACTCACTTATTTTCAACTCGTCAATAATTTTCCCAACAATTCTACCTAGTCTTCTACTCTTCTAACTTCTGGAGCACGTAGCATTAGTTTCTGTTATATTATTGATGTGCCATAGTTTTGTGTCATTGGTGAAATATTTCAGGTAAATTAATCTTCTCTCCCCACTTAGTACATAAGTTTTTCCACAGCAGAGTCCACATGGAGGCACCTTTCCTACCATGCAGACCTAGAGACTCTAGGGCTAATAATTAAGTTGGGTGTGTGCTGCAATACAGGAATGAATAATAAGGTGGATGCACAAGGGGAGAGTGAATGGGAAAAGTTACAGGTGACTTTGGAGCTGTGCCTTAAATTTGTGAGAAGACACGCATTCATTAGGCAGATAAAGGAGAAAAGACGTCCTAATGAATGAAGAGCTTGTTAAAATGCACAAAGCTATGGGAACACAGGGCTTATTAAGAAAATGGTGAATAAATTCAGTATGATTGGAGATCAGTGTGTTAAAAGATATGTTATATATATTAGTATATGTTGTATGTTATATATGTATAGTAGTAGTATATAGCATATATATGTGTATATATATATATATACACATATATATACACATATATGTGTGTGTGTGTTTGTTTGTGTGTGTGTGTGTGTGCCTTGTATGCCCTGGTGAGAGGTTAGAGTATTATTCTGCCAGTACTAGAGATAACCATTAGGGGTATTTCAGAGGGAAAGTGATACGATCATAGTTGGCTTGGGAAAAATAACCATGTCAACAGTTGGGAAATATATCTCAGGGGTATCAATGAAAACGCATTGGTGTAAAAGTCACACAATGTGGATAGGAGAGACATGGTAATAACTGAACTAGTAATGGTAGAAAGAGGTAAGATGTTAGATTTGTTAGTTATTTTGCAGGTAGAATTGCTAAAACTTGATATTGAATGTGCTGTCACAGATAAGGCAGGTATAGAGGGTTATGTCAATATCTCTGGCTATAAATATTTTGTAAGTGGCCTAAGAACTCAGGCGACAGAGAAGGTTTAAGGGATGCAGAGCAGATTTTAAATTCACATTTGTGGATAGATAAGGGGAAAATTCTCTCTCTCTCTCTCTCTCTCTCTCTCTCTCTCTCTCTCTGCTGCTGCTGCTGCTGCTGCTCCCGTGCTTTGCTTCAGCCTTGATGTGAAGGAATTATATGACATAAAATAGTTAAATGCCAAAAGAGGCCATTGCATTATAAGTTATGTTATATTATAATAGGCATATTCCACTCGGGGACAAACGGCGGGGGTGCGGTGGGGGTGGGGGTAAAGTTGCCTTAAGGTTTAACACAGGCAGATTAAACTTCCAGAAAGAGCCTTCTCTTTCAACATCACTGTCATGATTTTTCCACAAAGGCAGTTAATACTCTAAGCTATAAAGTCTAAGTAAATGAAATAACTCAGTGATACCAGCGTCCCAAAGGAATGGGGGCTATGGGACAGAACTAGGCAATTCATAGTTCAAGTGAGTAAATGGCCAGTATCCAGAAGCAGACACAGGCAGTGCTTATCTCCCAGACTGACGATTCTGGAAGGAGATATGATTAAGATACTCTTAAACCATTAAATTGCATTGCCATTGGAAACCTGATGTCCTGGGCACTCTCAGAACATATGGCAGAAAAATATCTTGTCAAGAATTTCATTGCCAGCATCAGTCCACATCTTTGACAATCACAGCTGCCATGCTGGCTGGTAGCCAAGGATGATTCAAGACTGCCTGTTCTTGTATGAGAGAGATGGAAAGGTTGGAGGTTAGTCCCATTATTTGATTTTCATCTTGCTACTGAGGGCATGAATCACAAGCTACAGCCCAGTGCACTGTTTCCACAGACCTTCTGTTCCATCTTCCTAGTGGAAATGACAGAGAGACATGGTGACCCAGGGTCATGCATCCATAAGTGGGGTCAGGCATGCGGCTTGCCCAGGAAAGTCAACTTTCTTGGTTCTGGTCTCATTTATAATGAAGCAGTTAAAATGAATCCAGCTAATGAATGGTTTGAGTGTGGGGGTTTTGATTTGCCTCAGCAGCAGTAGTTACTAGATTGAATATGGTAGTCCTTTTCTAGAGAGTTAATGAGAGAATAGAAGCTTGTAAGTGAAACTTGGAGTCTTAGCAGAAAAATGAATAAGCAGTGACATAAAAACATGTAACATGCCAAGCGCTAAAAACTGTTCCTTCTGATAGATAGTCTACATTGGACTATAAGGGTTGCCTAAAATTCCAGCTAGTAGATTCAGCCTTGGTTTGAAATTAACAAATTACCTCATTAAGCCCTTTCTGAAGATGAAAATATTATTCTTGTCAGGATATTCTTTTACGGCTTGCTTTTTGTTTTGTTCTGTCATTTGTCTGTATTTTCACAGGGAAAAGTGTTATGACCATGCCCACTTTTTGACTAGACTCCTGTGCACTGACTATAGGGGATAGAATAACAACAAAATGTCATCAGTCTGGGTATTTAAATTAATCAGTTTAACAAGACAATAAAATCACACTGCCAGAATGACATATTTTATTAGGAGAATCAGGGTGGAAAAAGCAAGTTGGAGAGGCCAAGGGCCAAAAGCTCTTGCCTGGGGATGCTCAGAGACTGGAATGGAGTTATGGACAGACCAGGGATAGATACCATGAAAACACAGAATGAGGGCACAAATGTTCACTCATCCTCCCATAATGCCTAGCATATAGCATGTGTTCAGAAAGAGTCAAATTCAGTTTGATTCCCAGCCTGAGCTGAGTTGCCCCTGAGCTGCCAACAGGTGGCAGGATGGCTCAGCTTAAAAAAAAAAAAATGGTGTGCGGCGGCAGTGTCGGCTGCGGCTGCAGTGAAAGAGTTTGGCGCGATGTCTCACACCATTTTGCTCGTACAGCCTACCAAGAGGCCAGAAGGAAGAACTTACGCTGACTATGAATCTGTGAATGAATGCATGGAAGGTGTTTGTAAAATGTATGAAGAACATCTGAAGAGAATGAATCCCAACAGCCCCTCTATCACATATGATATCAGCCAGTTGTTCGATTTTATTGATGATCTGGCAGACCTCAGCTGCCTTGTTTACCGAGCTGATACCCAGACATACCAGCCTTATAACAAAGACTGGATTAAAGAGAAGATCTATGTGCTCCTTCGTCGGCAGGCCCAACAGGCCGGGAAATAGTTGTATTAGAAGCAATAAGGGGATGGGGGTGGGTTTGGAACACAGGTGTGTACAGCGTGCTGTAGTGGAAGTTCTGTATTCTCGTAATCCTGTTTCCATTTTGGTACATTCTAGCCAGGATTGAATGTGTTAGGTGAAATGTGAGGATCTGGTTCAATCTGAAAGCCCCATCACCCCCTTTTTTTTTCCCTGGGTTGTTTTTTGTTTTTTGTTTTTTACTTAAGCATTTTTATGATTATTTAGATGGAAGTTGTTCTTTGTCAGCTAATGTTGGTTCCAGTCCTTCACAAACTGTTCATGCCTGACTCATAACATTCACTGTACTAACCCTTCTTCAAGTTGGAGTCGGGGGTGGTGACACAAGTTTAGTTATGTCCCCAAGGTCTTGTGAAAAACAAATAAATGTTCTTTAGTTAAAAAAAAAAAAAAGTCAAATTTTACATTAGAAAGCTGATTTCTGTCTTCCAAATAAGGCCTGGTCTATATATTACATTACTAATAACTAACATTAAAACCTCCCATCTACTTTTAAAATGCAAGTTTCCCTTTGAATTTGCTTGTATTGTATGCTTTTTCTGAATTACATTCTACCATTCTGCTTTTTTCATAGATTTGCATTTTTGACAATGAAGAAACAATGTTTATTACTTGTTTATCCTTCCTTCAGGGACTTACATTTCCATCAAAGGATTATAACTTGGTGAGGATCAGGCTGAGGATTCTAACCTTAATAGCATAAGACACTTCATCATAATGTGTAGAATCTTTCTGGATTAGTTCTCTGTGTGTTGGGCTTAGCTGATATTTTATTCTCATATTTTACTCTTTCAAAGCACATGAGCAGAAAATTAGGTGCAATGAATGTGTGCTTCATGAGGTGAGTGAATAATTAGAAAGGTTTTTTTTGAAATTTAACATTTTATTAAAAGAACAAAAAATAACACAAAAATAGTATACTAAAATGAGTTGCATAATGCACACTTCTACACACAAACAAGCAGCACAGCACTATAATTTGGAGAAAAACATAAAAAAATCAAAGCATCTTCCCTATAGATAGCAGTTGAGGGAATAAACTATTGCATTCTGGAGGCAAAGTATTATGGGAAGTTTATATTTATGAAATATTGGGGTTAAAATGTGTAATTATTGCATGAGACTAATAATTTTCTTATCTATAGGTATTTTTAAATTGACATTTTCTACCCAAAATGCATGTTTCTATTTTCTACTTTACACCTATTGTTTTTATATAAATGCATAGAGTTAGCCTTTAAAACAGAGTGCTTTTAAGACCATCTTTCCTTTAAAATAAATCTTAATTTAAATTATTGTAATTTGGGGACACGATAACAAATGGTTCATGTTCTAATAATTAAAGCAGCAACAACAATAAAAGGAAAAGTGGTATTTAAAACTAGCTGAGCAGAAACAAGTAAATAGAAAAAATTCACCGTATACTAATGGATACCATTGGTATACAATGAGGGAGTAATGTTTTTTAAAAGAAAAGCAATTAATCTTCCTCACAAATTCTCTATGGCATTTATACTTATAGTTTTGGGAAAAAAACACATTTGATGCAATTGTATATGAAAAAAAATCAATAATACTGATGTGCTGGGCTGGCCGAGTGGAGCATTGGTTAAGAGCTGGCTTGGGACGCCAGAGGACCCCGGTTCGGATCCCACATATGAGGGCCAGTGACACTGCCCTCTACAGCTAAGATGCTGAACAACAGCTCAACCTGGAGCTGGGCTGCCATGAGTTGCAGGTGACTGTGTAAGCTGCAGCCACTGCTACAGTGGGTTGCCATGGGCTACCGTTAGTAGCCAGCAGCCAGCGTGAACGGCCAGCAGCTGCCGTGAGCGGCCGTCCAGAAGCCAGCGACTGATGTGCCTCGCCCAGGAAGAGTGCAATGATGGTGCCAACTTGGGCCAGTGAAGCAACGTCCTCCACAACTAGACTGAAGAACAAAAGGACAGCAACTTGTCTGTTCCCCTTCCCCCAACTCCCCAATAAAAAGCTTTTAAATAAATAAATAAATAAATAAATAAATAAATAAATAAATAAATAAATAAATAAATAATACTGATGTGCTTTATTTTGAAAAGGATATGGAAAAAACCTGGGAGGATTATGTAAACAACGAAAACCTGTGGCTGCTCACCAAAGTGCAATTTTTCCCCTGAATTGTGTCAAAATAAATTATTTGTGACATTACTCAATGTCGAAGAATTTGCAAAGCTGTAAAATAAAAATGAGATATCAATCAAGGAGAATATTTTGTATCTGTAGTAGGATAAAGCATTAGTCCTGCTTTACAGAGATTCACCTCTCCTTACATTGTTTTGTTTGGTTTTCTCCCCTTTACTTCATGAGAAGAAATGATTCAGCCCCTTTTAGGACATAAGCAAATAAGACAGTTCATTTTGGGTTACTTATGATTGAGACATAACTTTCATGAGTCATTGAGGTTGGTTCCAAAATACCATGGAGGACTACATGAAGAGAAGAGAGAGATCAGAGCTCTGGGGTAAGGAAGATAACATGAGGGTGAAAAGCATGCTGCTGTTGGATTTAGCACAATGCCTAACATGTATTAGGAGTGCAACAAATTTGAGTTGAACAAATGAATGGATGCATCCATAAACACAAGTGAACGAGTTAATTATGGAAATGTTACATATGAGTTAATGTCCAAATTTTCAGTGTTTTTGAATGTTTTTATCTGACAAGTTCTGAACAGTGAGACAGTGAGTTTAATCTCTGCAAGTCACAGACATTAAATAAATAAAAAAACCTAGAAAGGATGGCATTTCTGTAAGCTTTGTCCAGAAACGCCAACACTAAGATCTGATTTGTTTTAGACATGAATTTTGTCATTAGTGCCAATCACCATGTCATAGGTTTTATTTTCTGATTTATAAAATGAAGATTCACAACCCAAGACATCAGTTACCATAAATCATATTTACCAAACAGTACCTATTATATTTTTTCTTGAGACAAATAGATTTTTATTTTGTTCCTTAAATTCATAGCTTCGTGGAAGATGCCCAGTCAAAGATAAATTGTGGCCATGGAAAGCATTTTTCAAGACTTCAATCTTAAACTGTCTTAAAAGAAAAAGAATTCAGGAAAAAAACAAAACAAAACAAAACAAAAAAAACTTCAAACTAAGTTCCAAAATATCTTTCCACATGAAATCAAAACCATCCATCAAAGGTAAATTTCCTAAAGTTTACTTTGTGATAGCTGTTTGCTTTTTTTTCTCTCCCTTTATTTTCATTGGGTGTTTGTGGTAGTTCAAAAGTTTTCTGAGGAAGAACATCTAACTTGTCTATGCCTATATTTTCAATGAAATGATATCTGCAGTGCCACTTTTGAGAGTTTAGACAGTTCATATTACCATGAGACAGAATTATCAGATTGCATGATGCTGTTGTGGGTTGCCAATTTTACTGTTTTTTTTCATTCAAGTGTTTAGTTAAAATATCACTCCTTTATTTTTATTTTATTCATTGAATGTTCCCCATAAGGCCCCACCTCAAATGAGAAGGGGCAGGAGGAAAAACGAGATCCTGTTTCTTTAAAATGCAGGTGAAGGTTTCAGGTGAATGTTCCGTCCAGTGTTCTGGACCTTCCCCAGGCCCCTATTCAAGGAGGCACCCAGCAGTCCAGTTTGAAAAAGTCTAGGGAAGAACTCTGCTTGGCCAGCCTTGGATCACATGCCCGTTTTACACCAGTTAAGTGTGGATAAGGAAGCAGAGTCACCTAGGTAGTATGTGGAATGGTCCACTAGAATCTCATGAATAAAATGGGAGAAGCATTTCCAAGGAAGCATGGAAAAAAGTGGAAATCATTTAAGGATTTCAAAAGAAATATGTGCACAGTGTGGGTGGAATGTGGAAAGAGGCTAACATGAAAATCAGTAGAGAGCAGGTGAAGGCATGAGCTTGGACTTGCACTCGTAGACTTGGATGAGAGGAGTTAGAAGGGCTGTGCCTGACCGCCTGCTCTCAGGAAGGCATTACTGAGCAGATAGTATTGAACTAATTTTTCAACACCGATGAGAAAGAAAGAGAAAAAAAACATAAAGAAGAAAGGAGAAAAAGAGTGAGTACTAGGAGCTCTAGAAACATTCATGAAATGTGTGAGCTTGATTTGGGGTAGTTTCTACGCTCACATTCTATGATGCTCAGAGTTTCAGTTCCATTCTTGAGGAGGTCATTTATTCTGCCCATAGGGTGCCTTCTGGCTCCATAATGCCTTCTGTGCCCCAAAAAAGGTAGCCCCAAAGTCAGTCCTGTCTCTCTTTTGAAGAAGTCACAGTCCAAAATAGAAGACACTTTTGCCCTCACCACCCCTCCCTTCACAATCAGAGCTTGCTTTTCTTGATGCATTTATCAAAACTCAATATTAGGAAACAAATCAGTCAATTATTTTGATATATAGTGTAAATTATTTATGGTTTCTTTTAACCCTTTTATTATACTTGCCTTTCAAAAGAAGGTAAAGAGTAATAGAGCAGGGAAGGGAGCTGTTACAAGATGAATGTGGTAGAATCTTAAACCCTGAGTCTAAAACTCTAACAATTCTTGTTTTGTTTTGTTTTGCTTCTCCCACACTGCCTAATATCCCATAATTAGAAAATAACTCATGTTAAAATGATTTTCTTGCTAAATATAGGCACTCTGTAAAGATTAACTAGCATGAGTAGAATTCATTTATTATGCTTTAATGCGAATTTGTTAATTTTCTCTAGCTTTTTTTAACCTGAGAATCAGTAACCCAATCTTATCAATCTGTTCTCACATGACCTGGTTTCCAGACCCTTTCATCCACCCCGCTGCATGCGGGCTGCTTTCACAACGTCTTCCTGAAAATGTGATGACAAAAAAAGAAAACGTCAGTCTCATATATTTTTGGTGGTATGAAAATAGGTGCTCATTCTTTTTGACTTAGGAAACCTATTGCTGAGTATTTACCTTATGACAAGTTTTTAAGAGAAATGGTTAAATTAATTCTGGTTTTTTTCTTTCAGTGATACATAACATGAGTTAGCCATATGTTATAATTATGTAGAAATGTCCCTAAGAAGTATTTTTAGTGTGTGTGTGGGAGGGGGGGGAGAGGAGGGGTGAAAGCCACAAGTTAGTGAATCAACATAGTATGATAACCTTTGCTTATTTTTTTAAGTATATACATCT